AAACTGTCATTGCAAATCTGACAATGAGATTCACAGGAAACAGATCTTAAGTAACATGTAAGTTATTATTTAGCAAAACTAACATGTGAATTTATTATTTAATACCAGTTTTAACACAAATTGTGATTATTTAATTTAATTGTTTTCCGGACAAAGAAGTTTTAATGTTTAAAAAGTTATTGCTGTGACATAAAAGCTATTAAACATAAGGAGGAACTGACATTTGTTGATCAAGTTAGAGTTTTGAGAGCGTTTATTTTCTAAAAGTCTGCCATGCTAGTGCCCATGGTTGAAAAAAAAAAACCCCGCCACAGATGAACTGAGTGATGCTGTTAGTAATTAGAAAACTGAGGCAAAAACATCGCTCTGATTTAGGTGCCCCAGAGGACTATAAATGTTATCAGCACATAGACCAGGATGGAAAAAAGAAAGATTGAATGTCTTTCAAAACATCCTGAAACTGTGAATGTTGATCATGGAGCCGTTCCTAATTCCTCCATGTGTTTCCTTCTTGGCTTAACAGGACAGAGCTCAGGCCCTACACAGATTTCACAATGGCTTCAAATTATACACACAGAGGCCTTTTCTAAAGAAATCCCCACTAGTGAAATCGTTTACTTGTATTCCTTTCCTTCAGTTTGGGTGTCAGGTGGTGTCCCATCTTTAGTCTCGTAATGAAAGAGATAAGTACCATCAGTCCTTCTCTGATTACACTTCACAGCACAATTGGAAGAAAGGAAACAGCTTAGGAAATGGAGTCTCATCCCTCTTTATTCCATAATTGCTACCGCAAGACTTTTGTTAAACAAACCATCCATGTAAATGAAACACAAACCGGCACAAGGGGGGCTAATTGGGCATTAAATGGGAAATAAATGTAGCCAAACATCAGACCTGAATCTGGCTGCATGCTAGATGAATGGACTTTTGGAAATTACATACTGGCATTCAACATCCAGTTCCTGTAGAAACTACAGGCAGGTAATTGGAGAAGGAAGGAAAAGAATGGTAAAATAGTGCAGCTTTATATATTTATTGAACTTTAATGCAACTACAGTTCATTTCAGCTGGCCATATGCAAGTGACATTTTGCTGCCTCATACAGTAAATGTTTTTGTTGTCAAATAATGTGAAATATAAGAGTTATTCAGACTTCATGTTATTTTTAGTGTGTGTTTGTCACTTATGCAAATTCTGGGACTTTTTATTATACTTGAAATCAGTAAAGAGTCTCAAAGGAAACGTTTTGGCATCTTGCTGAATAATATCCATGTAATTTGTGAAATCTAAATTCCTATGTTGCATTTAATCATTTTATGGGATTTTAACTAGCAGAGCATATGTAAGAAATTTGAGCTGAATACTGTAATACAGTGATTGTACAAATGGTCGTAAAATTATATTTATAAAAAATATAAACGAAAATATCACGAAAAGGCATGTCCCACGAATGTCCCATTTCATCCTTTGTGTTATTATGATATGCACTGTACATGGATATTAATGTCTGTGTCGTCTCAATGCTTGTTCAGCTGTGCTCTAGGAGGAGGCATGAGTACCCACTGACCCTTCACAGACTTGATCTTAGATCATTTTGTGGCTTTTCTAAACATTCTCAAAGTTGGGACATGGTTTGGGGTGAGTTGGTTATAGATCAGCATGCGGGCAATGAATACTTGCAAAACACAATGACCACAAGCCAAGGTCGGAAAGGGAATGTCAGTTTTGCACATGGTCTCAAGGTGTTAGATCATTCCTCCCTTTTTAACCTGTTGAAGTCACTCCATTTTCTTTGACGGTGATGCACTCTTCTGATCTGGCTCCACTCTAACCCCATAGGCATCATATTGAGCTGTTTAAAATCTTGTTACAGCCATGTGGTCTGTATGTTATGGGGCGTTGCACACACCCCTTTGAAGCACTGCGAAACTTTGTAATTAATTTTGTTTATCAGTGTTCACATATAATTTTACTTTTTAATTAACTTGTAAACTACACTTTTTCATCATATCAGTAGTACTATTGATTCATATTTTACTCTGTATATGTGGAAATGAATATACTAGTTAGTTATGATACCAAACAGCTGTCCTCACAGCTTGCAGACTTCACACACACACACACACACTATACTATAGATTCGTTGCGGTACCCTGATTCAGAATCAGATTAATTAATACTTTGATAATGTACCATTTTACAGTTTGATTACCATTTAAGTAACATGGTATTTAATTTGTAAAGGCGGTGTCTTTGATACTATTATGAAATAATATAATTTGTTGCATTTATATAGCACTTTTCTAGACACTCAAAGCGCTTTACAATGTGAGGGGGGATCTCCTCATCCACCACCAGTGTGCAGCATCCACCTGGATGATGCGACGGCAGCCATAGTGCGCCAGAACGCCCACCACACACCAGCTTACTGGTGGAGAGGAGACGGAGTGATGAAGCCAATCAGCAGATATGGGGATGATTAGGAGGCCATGATGGTGGTCAGAGGCCAATGGACAAATTTGGCTAGAATGCCGGGGTTACACCCCTACTCTTTTTCGAAGGACATCTTGGGATTTTTAATGACCACAGAGAGTCAGGACCTCGGTTTAACGTCTCATCCGAAGGACGGTGCTTGTTGAAAGTATAGTGTCCCTGTGACTATACTGGGGCGCTAGGACCCACACAGACCACAGGGTGAGCACCCCCTGCTGGCCTCACTAACACCTCTTCCAGCAGCAACCTAGTTTTCCCAGGAGGTCTCCCATCCAGGTACTGACCAGTCTCAACCCTGCTTAGCTTCAGTGGGCAACCAGTCTTGGTCTACAGGGTGATATGGCTGCTATGAAATGCTCCCATTTATGTTTCTATATTGTTGTAATATTTTAAAAATCGATTTCATAACATCAGTTCTGCCTACATTCATGTGTAATTGCATTTATTCAGCTTTTGTGTGGCATTAAACATTCTGTGTCCCTGTGATTATACAATTTGGACATTTGAGGCACACTTAAAAATATCAGAATTTCTTTGCATATGAAACTATATCAAAATCTGCATCTCCAAACAAACTATGCGAGACCTTTTCTCAGAACTAACTCACTTTTCTGAGTCATTTACTATCATTTACCCAGGTTATTTTATTGAATGTGCAGTATGAAGTCAGTTTACGCAGGTGTAGCTCATCATATTTACTATATTCCGCCAACATTTGAGAACCAGCGTCCAAATGCTTTTTGTCTTAGGTTGAATTATATATCTATTGTTTGGTCATTTTAAATGTAACAATTTTTTTTTGTAAAATTTGTTGCTTGCTTTTGTGTCAAAAGTGTGCTTGTGCTGTCTTTCTGTAAAATGCACATGGTGTACAGGTCAGTTTAAAATGTACAGGTCAGTTTATTTGATATTTTATCTAATGCAGTTCCATTTCTACATATTTTAAGACATGTATTCTAGCTTAGTGTGCATGTGGTATGTAGAAAATGGTGGCATGTGCACCTTTCATCAGGTTATCAACGAGAGCTCATGTGTGACCGGAGTCTGCTGCTTGTGGTCATGCTGCTTGCAGGACTATGAGTGACGACTGATGCCTGAATGCAGTGAGCGTAAAAAGCCCTTTTCAATCTCTTAAATAAATACTCTTAACTCAAATCTCTAATCCGGTTGTAAGGTCCATGTATCATGTCTTGTGAAGAACAAATCATATAGTGCTTTGCTTTGCTTTGCCATATATGGCTATTGGGGTTTTGGGTTTATGTAGAGGTTAAATATACAGAGCTATTCTTCTTTTTTTCAACATCCCTGTAAATGAGCTGTGTCATTTATTTTTTTTATTCTTCCTTTATTTCTTTTCGTCTCCTTGAGTAGCAGGAACAACTGTGAGGCTGACGTCCAATGAAAATGTAAAGATTGCATCATAAAATTACCATGTTTCTTTAATAGTTGATGTGGGTTTTATTTATCTGTACATTTAAAACTAATTTGTTTGGGGTTGGAAGGATGATTTTTCATTTTTAGACGTACTTGAAAGGGAAGGGGAAAATTAAGAAGGGGAGTCTTGTAGGGTTTAGGGTACTTGGCCATGTTGTGCAGGTAAGGGATGGAAAGTTAATCAACGGCTTGTTCTCTCCACCCTTGATGTCCTATGGGGATCAGGTGGGGGAAAATGCAGCCCTCCATGGGAATGCTTCACCCCAGAACCATCCATCAGTAATGGCCCTGACTGTGTTTGTGCACAATAGGGTAGAGTCATCTGTGGATAGTACTTGGAAGGGTTTAGCTACTTTGCATTAGCCCTGGAGATTTGGACTGTTTGAGACTTGCCCATTTTCACACAATAGGCTGAAACAAGTCCGAAGGTGAATAAAGGGATGATGCAACATCTCAATGTCCCACTATTCTTCCGTAATATATTTTTTTCACTAATAAATGCAGTATCATGAAAAGCATCAATGAAGTGTCACTTGATTTAAGTGACTTGATTCTGTGCAGGTCACTTGCTGAATTGATAAATTGTTTTTTCATTCTTTACAGAGGGGTTCAACACATATCTGAATCTCTTCACACAAAGAGTGGATTTACTTGAGCAGCTCTCAGGCTTAGTACCAACCAGCAGGAACGTGACCCTTTATGAGGAGGACAAGGGATGTCTATATATATAAATAGTTTCATTCAACAAGGGTGCATTAAATTTATCAAACGTTTTACGTTGTGACAAAAAATTTATTTTCAAATTAATACCGTTCTTTTAAAAATTCTGTTCATCCCCTCAAAAACTGTCACATGTGCTATTAACCAGCAAAATATTTTCAACTGTGATAATAAGAAATGTTTCTTGAGCAAATCAGTATAAGGGGTTCAACACACATCTGAATCTCTTCACACAAAGAGTGGATTTACTTGAGCAGCTCTCAGGCTTAGTACCAACCAGCAGGAACGTGACCCTTTATGAGGAGGACAAGGGATGTCCAGTGCTGGACATTGGCCTGTATTCCACACTCACTATGCCCTCCCAGGAAGCATTTGGTTCAAGGTTTGACATTTATGTATGTCTGTATGTCTTTATGTCTGTATGTAATTATGTCTGTATGTAATTATGTATGTATGTCTGTATGTATGTAATTATTTAATTATTTAATTTAATTTTTGGCATTTTATTTGACAGGTTTTTTTACTTTTTCTTCTTTTTCATTATGATTTTATTAAAATGACCGTACTTTTTTAAACTTACACTGTTGTTCAAATGTTTGGG